GTTTTTTTGGGTGTTTTTTAGGTTTTTTTTAGGCCATGGATAGGTTTATCATGATTTCTAAGATGTTTTAGATCAAAAGAGCATAAACCCTAATTTTTCAGCCACTACAATGGTCATAATTTGAGGAAAACAGACAATGCGTTATCTATTTTTTTATGAAAAAAATTAGGGTAGATGACATGTTATCCGTTCTAGGTGCAGTTAAGAAAAAAGAGCTCGCACGTAGGCCTTGATAAAATAGGCTAATAGGGCTGGCCTGACTTGTGAGGCCTAGCAGCGCTTGATCTTGTTTTTCTCCTAATTTTTTCTATTTTAATTAAAGCTTCTTTTTAAAAAAAAAAAAACTTAATTATATTTACATTTACCCATTTTCTTTTTTATTTTATTTAGAGAGTCTCCTTTAAATGATGATGATTTTTTGGTTTCGTTTAATTTTCAAAGAGGTTTTTCTGATTCATCTATGATTTTTTTTTTTTATCTTTTGTATAGATGAACTATATTTTTTTAAAATAGGAATTATTTATTTTCATATGATATTTCTAATAGGTGTAGCTTTGCATATTATTATTATTTATTTTATTCAATCAATTTAATATGTTTGTCTATTTCTATTATTATTTAATTAAATAAAAAATGTTTTAATAAACAAAAATTAGCTAACATGACCGGATAAATGTTTTGTGTTACAAGATTAAATATCTTGATTTACATCTATTTCTTGATTTTTCAAATTTTATTTTTAAGTGTTGTTAATGATTTTTTATTTATTTATTAGCATGCATAGTTCTCAGGTTATTTGATTACATATGTGCATACATTTTTTGATTTACACTTAAATTTTTTGAATTACAAAAATACATTAGAAAAACCTGTATATATAATTTTTTTAAAATAAAAATATTTGACCTGTGATAAAGTGTGGGTCACGTAACTATTAAAAACCAAATGGTGAAAATGAGAGGGATAAACAAGGCAATTATAATCCAAAATATAATTAAATGTTGAAATAACGCATCATACAAAATTATTGATAAAATAATACAGTTTAAAGATATCATTATTTAAAAATATAATATTTTAATAATCTCACGCTTCACAACTACAATATTAATAAAATTTAATGTTTTTAAACTGAATATTTAATAAAATAATTAGAGTATAGCTAATGTCTATCAAGTAATTTCACTAATGTGTTCTATCGATGTTATACATCAAGGCAACGTACGGTGATTTATTTATTTTTTTTCCCTTTTTGCAACATCAACAAGAAAATGTCGTTAAATTCTCCAATCAGCGCTTAATAACTCCCCTCCTCCCAGATAAAAGAAAAATTCTTTGTTTTTGCAAAAACTTTTGTACATTCATTGTTTATTTTTAGTGAAAATTGTTGAAGAGTAATATAAAAATTCTTTTTTACGTCTCACTTAATAAATTAATTTTTTAAATTAAGATAACTTTTTTGTATATAATAATAAGGATATCTTCAAAGTATCCATTAATTTTATTTTTTTACAAAATTTCCTCAGAATCCAATCCTTACCGTTTAAAAAACAACTGAATGCATCAAGTGTGATTGGTTTTATTTATCAATGATTATAGGAGTTATAGACAATCTATCAGGACAACAATATCTATGCTGTCTTTGTCCTCATTTTTCATTTGGCATCAGTGATACTTCTATATATTTATGATGTGATTTTATATTAAATTTTTTTATGATACATAAGAAATATAGTATAATTTTGTTAGTTACTTTCTTTCTTGGATCCACTTTGAGAAAATGAAACAAGCACAAGGAAAAAAAACATTAAACTCAGAATAGTATCTTTATCTAATATTTTTTTTCTCTTTCTCTTTTTATTTTTTAATAATTATAAATGAGGAGAATAACCAAGGTTTCGACCATTGTTTGCTTTGCCGCCTTCTCGGGCAATAAACTCTCAAAACTGCCTTCCAAGCCAAACTCGTGTTGCTGATAAGTTGCCTTCTCTGTGTAGCTAAAAGACGGGTCTTCGTTGTCAAAGCTCGCCTGTTGTGCTCATTTGAGGAAGACAGGACCCAAATTCTGTGGGACACTGGAACTTGACATGAAAGCTTGAAAGATCATTTGATTGGGACTAAGTTTCATTCAAGATTTTCGTTTTTTTCTTTTAATTTCGAAAATATTTCATCTCTTTCGTCCATGATCACCAGGTCGTCCTCTTCCACTTCTGCGGCCATATCTTGTACCTACCCCAACTAAAATTTTCATTTTCTCTGCTAGAAAAATCAAATATTTCTATTATTATATAGCACAGGAAGCACCAACTATATCTCATAAATTTAAAATTAATGAACAGGGAGCCGTTTGAAGTTTTGGATCGAAAACGTTTCGACTGCGTCCCCTAAAATTAAATATGTACCATGTTCTTTATGACATCCTGCTCTAGGTCAGCAAGTGTCATAAATCCACTGAGTTTGCATACCATGGATGGTTCTTGTTGTGAAAATCAAATGATTTCAAAACTTGGAATAATGTACAATAAATTTATTAAATAAATCCCCATCAATATTAATTATATGCTTTTAAGATTATTTAAGGAGGAGACCTATTTTTTTATTAACATCAAAGTAATACCAAGATATCCCATCTTATTACAAATTGAAAAACATGGATCCTTTCTTTTTCTTGATATTAAAGATAAAATAAGAACAAGGTTTAGTCCGAGCCCGCTAAATGCTTGTAGGAATTACATAAATGGTTTGTTATTAATTGCTTTTAAAAATGAGCAGTGGCAGTATGATGGTTCGTAATGCAAACAATGGCAAGCTATGTTTGAAAATTCTCTAATTAACTACTACACTAGAAAAATTCGGTTCCCTCACCTTCTTCACTGTTCATAGGAACAGCAAAGGAGGTGAACCTTTTTTCTTTCTTTCTTTCTTTTAAAAAAAATTAGCTTCCATTTTTTTTTCTATGCATTTTGTTCTCATTAAATGCTTTCTAGTTTCTTTCTATCAATTTTATCCCTTAATATTTTATTAATTTTAAATTGATCATCGTAATTTATTTTGATTTATTTTCTATGAGCTTATTATGGTCTCAAATAAATATTTTAATATTTATTGATACTTAATTTTGTAAGCATTTATTTTTTTATCATATCATTAAATAAAAAATTAGTTTAAAATTACAAAGTTTTTAAACTTAGTAAAGTTTATGATTCAAATTGCAAGTTTAACAAGTTAAATCATGAATCCCGGGTCATTCCATTATATATATCATCTTGAAATTTATTTTTAAAAAACTCATATTACTTTTGTTATTGGTTGTCCAGGTTAGCTTTGGACCCATCAGGTCAGCTGTGTTATATAGAAGCAACTTTAATGTTATTTAAATTTATAAGGAGTTGAATAAGGAGTTGGGTAAGAAAGTTTCAAAGTTAATTCACTAAGTCAGGTTTGATAACAATGCTAAATAATTTTTTTTTAATTTTTTTGATTGATTTTTTTTTGTTTATGTTTTTTGATTTTATCTTTTAATATTTGGTTGATTTTAAATTGATCTTTATAATTTTTTTATTTACTTTCCAAGAGGTTATTACAATATCAAAAAAGCATCTCAACATTTAATTGATGCTTAAATTTTGGGAGCATCTATTTTTTATGTCATGTAATTTAGTAAATAAATAAATAAAGTTGTTAATTCTAGTGAAGTCTATGATCCTAGTTGTGGATTTAACAAGTTAAATCATGAAATTTAGATTAATCTAATATGCCACCATCTCAATATTTAAAAAATATCATTTTGAATTTTTTAAAGTTAAACCATGATTTTTTAACCGTTATTTAGATTATCTTTAGATACATCAAATTAAATGAATCATATCAAATAACTCTCATATAACTTAATATAAATTTGGGTTATGTAAGGAATTGGGCGTGAACAATTTAAAATTGAAGTTTAATGATAATATCATATATGTTTTTGAGATCTAAACCTTTTTTTTTTAACATTCAGTTTTTCTTGCCTGCATTTCAAAAACAAAAATAATATAAAAGGCCTAAGGATCATTGTACAAGTATTTTAATTTTATAAACCATGAATACATGCAATTGGGCATGAAACCCATGATTCAAGGAGACGTAAACAAGAACTTGTTTCTAGTTGAAAAGGGCCTCAGGGGGTTCCAAATCCAAAGAACCTATAGCTTTTCGAGTTTCGAGTTAGCCTTAGTTTCTGGTCAATTTATTATTAGTCTTAGTTTCAGCCCATTTCGAGTACATCTGAATTTATCCTTCATTATGTGCACATCCCGCTGAAAAAAAGAAAAAGAAAAAAATAACATTTCACTACATTTCCTTAAAAGGTTTTTAGTTTCAACAGAAAAGACAATAAGATTGATAAATGTTAAGACGGTTTTCAAATTCTTTTTGTTATTTATTAAACATATTCTACTCTTGACATATATATATATATATATATATATATTAAATTGATGCAAAGTCTCCAATACTCCTCTCGTGATATATATATATATATATATATATATTAAATTGATGCAAAGTCTCCAACATTATTAAGAGCGAAAGATACTAGCATGCTTGAGATTCCATGCTTGCATTGTTATGGTGAATAGTAAACATGGGATATCTTGTGTTTTCTTGGTTTTGATAGTGAATAATTTAAATTACTTCGCAGCCATCGTCAACAAACTTTCAAAGTCAAATATAGAAGGCCATGCCGTGTCGAATTATTTGTCCTATACACTTTACCGCTACCCCCCACAGTCACACGGCGCTCTGACCTTTTCTGTCAAGAAAATTACTCAAAATTCAAAAATTCCAGGGTAGCGGCGATGGCAATGGGGCCATTCAAAGTGGTCCCTAATAAATACGCATTCAATTTCAATTGGTTTGGTCCACCACGTGGATTTCTATTAGTTCAATCACAAGAACTGAAAACGAGTTTAGATGACTCAGGAATGTTGGGCTTATCCAAGTCTCCCTCGCAATTGCACTTTCTTTCCATTTACGAGGATATTTGTACTTAATTGAATTCATGGGGAATGACAGTCTGACTTCTGTCAGCTGCAGCCCTTAAACTCCTACTATTTTAATACCATCTCCATTGGTTAGGACCAGTCTTTCAGCTAAAGCACGAATTACCAAAAAAAACATCAATGAATAACATTACCATACTTTGCTTTTGTTTTACTTCTTTCTTCGTTACATCCCTAGCAGCAGACACCATCTCTGCAAATCACACTATCGGCGATGGAGAGACCATAGTTTCGAGTGGCGAGAGATTTGAACTGGGGTTTTTCAGCCCTGGTAATTCCACAGGGCGGTATTTGGGAATATGGTACAACAAGATATCTAAAGGGAAAGTGGTGTGGGTTGCCAATAGAGCAATCCCAATAACTGATAAGTCAGGAGTCTTAAAGTTCGATGAGAGGGGAGCTCTCATCCTTGTCATTCAGAATGGTAGTGTCATTTGGTCTTCCAATACATCAAGGCACGCGCAGAACCCGGTTGCTCAGCTTTTGGATTCAGGAAATCTTGTGGTCAGGAATGAAAATGATCGTCGCACAGAAAATTTCGTCTGGCAAAGTTTTGAACATCCTGGAAATACATTTCTACCTGGAATGAAGGTTGGAAGACTAGCTTCTGGATTGGATGTGATTATATCATCATGGAAGAGCAATGATGATCCTTCTCAAGGCCCTTATACCTTTGAGATTGATGGGAAGGGTTTAGAGCTAGTTGTCAGACAGAATTCAGTTCTGAAGTCTCGATCAGGGCCGTGGAATGGTGTTGGCTTTAGTGGTTTGCCTCTTTTGAAACCAGACCCCCTTTTAAGCTATGCTTTTGTTTTTAATGACAAAGTGGCATACTTAACTTATGATATTAACAGCTCTATTGCTTTGACCTTGGTTTTTGATCAAGGCGGTGTCCTGGAGCGGCTTGCCTGGATTGACCGACTTAATAATTGGATAGTGTACTCAAGTGCACCAGGAGATAACTGCGATAACTATGCACTATGCGGTGCTTATGGCAGGTGCACCATCGGAAACTCCCCAGCATGTGGGTGTTTGAACAGATTCGTGCCAAAAAACCAAAGTGAATGGGTAAGGGCAGACTGGTCTAGCGGGTGCGTTCGGAGGACACCGCTGAACTGCCAGAATGGAGATGGATTTATAAAGTATTATAACATTAAATTGCCAGACTCAAAGATTCGGGCGATGAATAAAAGCATGACAACGGAGGAATGCAGGGTGAAATGCTTGAATAATTGTTCTTGCATGGCTTATACAAATTCGGATATAAGGGGAAACGGAAGCGGATGCATTCTCTGGTTTGGTGACCTGGTGGACATCAGACAATACACAGAAGATGGCCAAGATCTTTATATTAGAATGGCTTCTCCTGAAATAGGTAAATATGAGCACATTCTTACATGCTGAATATAATATAATATAATATATTTATTGCATTGCATAATACCAAAAATCCATGGCTAATGCTTTGAAACGTAACAGATGGGAAATATTCTATCACTGATACATTGCTATCTCCCTGCTTGTAGTAGCTCACACTCTAGAGGGCTCTCCCAAGAAAAAAAAAGTGGGCATCATTGTAAGCGTTGTGTTATCAGCATTTCTTCTCCTAGGCCTTGGTCTGTGCTTGTTCCTCCAGAAGAAGAAGAAGCATAGTAGACATAATACTCTTGGTAGGACAAGTTACCTTGCAATAAAAACATTCTGTAGAGCAAAGTCATGGATGTTCATTAACTTTTTTCCATCACTATAAGAAATTTTTGTTGCCATTCCTTCTTTACTTGCTGTGTCACAGAGAATAAGGAAAACAATACAAAGGAACAATGGTCTATGACGAGCCAGGATGAGAGTCTAGATTTACCACATTTTGACCTTACTGCAATAGCTAATGCTACCAGCAATTTCTCATTCAACAATTTGCTAGGACAAGGTGGCTTTGGACCTGTCTACAAGGTAAAACACAATGCGATGATACTATGCTCAGCTTTTTTGACAGTAGGTGATGATACCTAACCACATGCCTTTTATTGTGTCAAGATAGAAAAACTACGTTCTAAAATTCAGTGGCACAGGAAGAATGTGAACAAGAAAATAAAAACAAAGGGGTAGACAATTAATAAAAAAAAAAAAAAGGAAAAAGGAAAAACCAGATTGTTGGATATCCCCCTTAAGACTTGCCTGCTGACAAAAATCTGGTACTTGTCTTGTTTTTACAGGGTGCGTTTAAAGGTGGACAAGACATAGCTGTGAAGAGGCTTTCGAAGGAATCCAGACAAGGGCTTGATCAATTCATGAATGAAGTAAAATGCATTGCAAAACTTCAACATCGAAACCTTGTAAAGCTTCTGGGATATTGCATAGAACATGAAGAGAAGATTTTGATCTATGAATACCTGCCCAACAAAAGTCTAGACATCTACATATTTGGTTAGGATCGCTGAATCTTGATATTCATCAAATGTTTTTTCAAGATAATTTCATTTGAGTTGCTTCTTACATATGTGAGAGAAAGTAGGTATTACAACTTCTGTTTCATCTCTAATCCTACTGATCAAAGACTAGCTGCAAAACATTTATCAGTTCACACAGATTCAAGAATTTACTACCTCTAACATATTTGAGTACTCCCATGAGAACTTGGTTTACAAGGATTTTCTTTTTTACTATCCTGTTACTAAATAATATTCACTGTTAGTTAAAATCGCACTTATAAGTAAAATCAGCAGCCATATGAATTAACCTGCAGATTTTTTATATAATGGGCAGATCAAATTCGAAGCAAGTTGCTGGATTGGCCTAAAAGGTTCCACATCATCAATGGGGTATCAAGGGGACTGCTTTATCTCCATCATGACTCTAGACTACGAATTATTCATAGAGATCTTAAGCTGAGCAACATTTTACTAGATAATGATATGAATCCAAAAATCTCAGACTTTGGTATGGCTAGAAGTTTCGGAGGGAATGAAACAGAAGCGAATACAAGAAGAGTAGTTGGGACATAGTAAGAGTACTTCTTCATTCCCCTTCTCTCAGTTAGCAAAGAAAAATGTATTAGAAATGCCTACCATCTTAGTAGAAGAATCTCACTAACTTGTTTAATTATATCATGAAGTGGTTATATGTCACCAGAGTATGCCATTGATGGTTTCTTCTCGATAAAATCCGATGTGTTTAGCTTTGGTGTTTTGGTGTTAGAGACTGTCAGTGGGAAAAGAAACTGGGGATTTACACATCCAGAACACGAACTCAACCTTCTTGGGCATGTAAGGAATTTTTTTCCTTCTTGTTTTTTCAAAATAGCATTGGCACAATGGTTTAAGAATCATTTTCATTGAAAACAATGATTTCAAATTTCAGGTATGGAAGCTATACAAGGAAGGCAGATCTTTGGAGTTGATTGATGAATTAAATGTAGAATCCTGCTATGTGCCTGAAGTGTTAAGGTCAATCCATGTGGGGCTATTATGTGTGCAACACTCTCCAGAACACAGGCCAAGCATGTCTACAGTGGTTCTTATGTTGGAGGGAAATGGGTTATTGCCTCAACCTAACGAGCCAGGTTTTTTCACAGAAAGAAAAGTGATCGAAGAAAACAAGAAAGACCTGAGTTCCACCAATGAAGTAACAATCACGGTACTTGACGGCAGATAGAAGCGAGCCAGGCCTTCTTTAATTTTAATTTTAATTTTTAATTCAGAGAGTCGATCATTCATTCGGCTTTTTAGTTTTATTTGGTAAAGGAAGTCCAAAATGGCCGAATAGATTTACGTTCTTTTCTTCTCATTAACGGAAACAGGTTGGCATTTTGTTAGCCTTGCCCGATTAATCAAGTTTTGCAGATAAATACTACAACGATTGAGCTTTGTTACATCCGCAACGTCAATGAAATTAACAGTAAACTAGATGAATGAAGTAAGGTAACGCTGTTTCAGACAAAAGAAAAGAAGCTAACTGGAATAGAGGACACGAGACGAGCCGGAACCAAGAGACGAACACTGACCTTGATGCCACACAACCAGCAGCAAAGCACAAACAAAAGAAAAATTCCAAATTCGTTGGCATTAAATTATTAATTTTTATGGAACCTCAATCCATCCAAGAACAACAGAAGATCTCAAAGCCTAAAAGACAACATCAATCATACACTGGAAGAGGACACAACATAATCAAGAACCATAACACTTTCCAGATAATCTCTAACCTTAGCTTTCTCCAAATTCGCCAACTCTTTCTCCGAATCCACCGCCTCCAATTCACTCAATCCACGAAAAACAGCTAGTGACGCAATCGAATAACCCTTGGCTCTAGCAGGGGAGAAGTTCTCTCCGCAACTGATGTGATCAATTCCTCCAAATGTATCTTTAATCCCCTGAATTACTCCCAGTATCTCATCTTTCACTTCATCCCCTAATCCCTCTTTTAACTTCAAGAATGTTAATCTAATCGCGGACCCAGAAGGTGGGACCAATGAATCACCGCAGTTAAGATCACCAGTGACCCAATCGACAGCCATGATGTCATCGCAGATTGGTAGAACCGATTCTTTAACGACTTGAACGTGGGTCGGGTGAAGGGCATAAGCGGAGAGGTTTTCTTTAGAGGAGTAACGGCTGTGGAGCATGTGAGTGAAGGGAATAGGTGAGGACTTGGTGCGGTAGAGAGCACCGGCGGTTAAGTGGAGTACGGAGTCGAGTGATATAAGACGGTTGAGGGAATGAATCATGGTGTTGATTTGAGTGGGGTCGGTGTTTTCTTTGACTTTGAAGAGGACTATGTGTTCAATTGTTTGGGGCGGAGTGGATGAGGACGACATTCTGATTTGGGATCGGGATGCTGCAGCAGAGTAAGGCTTCTTGGGCTTGAAGGACGAGAAGAAGGGGTTGAGCTGGTGTTTGGCGACGGGAAAGTGGAGGTAAAATGGTTTCGTAGAGAGTAGGCTTGCGGCTTTCAGACACAACATCGTCATCTATGATTTGTGGGGACGTTTAACGTGGTTCGTTTGACTTTTTTTTTTTTTAACGTGGCTCGTTTGACTATTAATTTAAGGTAGTGATAGGCTACGAGAACTTTTAGCATCGTATCAGCTATTTTTTATAAAGTATTTTTATATAAAATATATTAAAATAATATGTTTTATTTTTATAAGTTTACTTTTAATATTAACAAGCAAAAAAATTAAATTACTTCTAAAAAAAGAAAACAGATTATATGTTGTAAAAAAGAAGAAGTGAATTTCAATTTATAATTAAGGTTGGAAGACTTTTTATTTTTTTGTTAGAAGTTCCATGTACTCATTGAAATTTTAATATCAAATCGATGGATAAGAATTATTAATTTTTCAATTCCTAAATATTTTCAAATTTAGTTGAATATAACTTTTAAAAAATAATTTGATAAATTCTACTTTTAATTTTAAGTGATGTCACTTACATTATTTATATTTAAAAGTATAAATATATTAATCATAAAATTAAACATTCACAGTAAAAAGATAGTATAAATTACGGAGCTCATTATAAAATAAATAAACAAACAATTTTTTTATAAGTCAAGCGTATATAATGTTTGAATTTTATAGATTAATCGGTTCTAATTTTAAGGTTCTATTTTTTTTGTGGTTTTTCTAATTCAATTATTTTAATTTTTTTTTGTTTTCAATATAAACTATATTTAAATAAAATAATTTTTTGTATTCTATACTTTTAAATAAAAACGATTTATGTGGTATCATTCTAATCTTATAATTTGAATAAAATATTTGATCTCATTAAATCAGTTTAGTGACTTACAAAACTTTTTTTTTTCCTCTTACTTTGAATAAAGAAGGGAAATATTAAAATGTCAAGTGTGACATTGAAACAATTAAAATATCAGAAAGAGAAATTAAGAGAATAGATTGAAATTAACTCAAAAAGAAAAGTGATGAGCTATACAAGGTAGGTTAATGTTTTTACCATATGATCTGCATGGCATTGAATCTTAGGATAAGGAGAAGAATTTTCAATCCTAAGATCTTTGATAAGGAGAAGAATGTTAAATCTCACGAAACTATCTCAAGTTTTAGAACCTAGAGGCACAAATATAGAAACATGCAGCATACTAGTGATTTGGTTAATCCTGGGAATTCGTTAAAATTGTGTTCTTTAAAACTTTAAATTTTTTATATTTTAAAATTTTTTTAATGTATTAATATTAAAAATTATTTTAACATATTTTTTTAACATATTACTATCACTCTTAAATTCCTTATAAATATTAGTCAACTCGCAATGAAAATAGACATAACTATCTTTAAAGACAAGAAAACAAATCTGTACTATGTGTCCTTTAACTTGGAGAGGTGGTATGAGAGAAAAATGTATTGTTCAATGCCTTCCTGCAGTGGGGTAATGTCGTTGGCTTAAAACACTGGCTTAGAACATCTTTCACAGCCTAAGTCCCATGCTTGGCAAAACTTGATGCAGACTAATTTAGCATATAGATTGTATCATTTCCAAATCAAGGAAAATAACTTTGGTTAGTATATAATTAGTTAAAATACATGATTAATTTTCAAGGACAGATCAAGAATATACAAACAATCTCCAATCCTGATAAGAAAACCCATGCATTACTTACAATTTGCAAAACCAACGAAGCATACCGAACTAATCCTGAATGGGTTTTTACGTTCAAAATGTTTAAGATGTATCCATGAGAATGTTGACAAAAACACCTTGTAATTGTATTGGTAATTTCTATAGAAAATTTACTGGAATTTTTATTATAGCTTTTCTTTAACTGAGCTTACAATTAAGTGGAAATATTGAAATAACAAGTTCAAAGATAAATATCTTAAAGAAACTGAATAGAAAGAACAATGTAAAATTGATAAACTATAATCTAGATTTCTGGACAGCTTGAAGGTAGCCCGAGCCTCCTGGATGAATGAAATTTGCTTCAAAGCAATTTTCTTGCCTATTTGCTGCCCTTCCCTTCTCTTTTTATTCTTCTCTTTTTATTGTAACTCTTGATTAGTTGAGAATTAAGGATAATAGATAGAATATACAGTTGTTTTATTTATCAGTGTTGTATTTGGATTCTTTTTACTTCTTCTCCTAAACAGTATTGTTTGCCTTTGAACTTACTCCCTAGCCAGCTATTAGCCGCAGGAGCTTCTTCATCTCAGCCCTCCATATAATTGCTTCTTGTCCCATCTTGACCATACATGTGCTTACTTTATCTCTTTACTATAGGTAAATCTTTTCCAATACGCCTCCTTCATTTTTTCCCCCGACCTTAGCTTGATCTTGCTCCTTTAGATGTTGCCGGACTGTTACAACTCTCTCCCCCTTAAAAAACCTTACCCTCAAGGTGAGGGTAGGAACCTTTTAACCACTCTTCATCAATCCAAACAACATCTTTTTTAGGTTGTATTTCCCATTTTAACAATACTTCTTCCTTTGTCTTCCTCCTTGAGACTTGGCTTCTTCGGTCAAGTATCTCTGCTGGTTCTAGTTAAGAATTCCTCTTAGGTTTGAGAATTGGTAGCTTCAGTTCAGGAATGGTTCCTTTCCCACCCATTTCTTTAGCAGCAAGACATAGAATGTGTTGTGGATTCGGGCCTCCTTGAGAAGATCTAACTGGTAAGTCACTTCTCCCACTTTTTTTAAGATTTTGAATGGCCCGAAGTATTTATATGCTAACTTTCTATTTTTATTTTTTGGCACGCTAGACTGTCTAAATGGCTGGAGCTGGAGGTAAACCCATTCCTTTTCTTTGAACTGGGTCTCTTTTATACCTTTATCTGCTTGTTTCTTTTGTCTCTCTTGAGCTCAAGCTAAGTTGTATTTAATTTCTGCAATTTGTTGTCCTGTGTTGTAATTGTTCCTCTGCTGTATGATTTTTTGTTGAACCAGGAATATAATCTATGAGGCTTGGAGGTGGGTAACTATAAATTGCTTTAAATAGGGTAAATTTGAGGGATGTGTGGTAGCTAGTATAGTAACAATATTCGGCCATGGTCAACCAATTAGACCAACCCTTTGGGTTATCTCCTATATAGAATCTCAAATACCCTTCCAATATTTTGTAAGTTGCGTCTGTCTGACCGTTGGTTTGGGGGTGGTAGGTTGTTGACATCAACAACTTAACCCCTTGAATTTGGAATAACTCTCCCCAAAAATTGCTAGTAATGGTAAGATCCCTGTCTGATACTATGTTGTCTGGTAGTCCATGCAGTCTCATTACATTTTGTGAGAACAAAATGGCAATTTTTGTCGTGTTATAAGGGTGGGACACAGGGATAAAATAGGCATATTTGGTAAACTTATCCACAACTACCATAATTACTGAGTATTGATTAGATTTTGGTAGCCCTTCTATAAAATCCATAGATATGGATGACCATGGTCTAGTGGGTATAAGTAAAGGCTATAAGAGTTCTGAGGGTTTTGTGTTTTCTCCTTTTGCTCTCTAGCAGACCTCATAATGTTTGATATAGGTTTGTATATCTGATTTCATTCTTACCCAAAAGAAATCTGTCTTTGTCCTTTTTAGTGTTCTCTCAAAGCTCATGTGTCCCGATGATGGACAATCATGTATATAGTTTAGGATGGTTGTTTTTATAGGGCTGAATTGATTTATATAGATTCTCTGTTTGTAGTATAGTATCCCTCAAAATGGTATTTCAAGGAGCCTATGGTTTTCTAGTTTAGTTGTTGTATGATAGCTTGAATTTCATATCAATCCAGTTAATAATTGGAATAGAGATAGTCCATAGCGTATCTTTTTTTGTGGTGTCCTCCTGGCTAGAGAGTGTGTCAATTACTAGGTTTTCCTTTCATACTCGAAACTCGATCACGAAGTCATATCCAAACAATTTGGATAACCATTTCTAGGTTTCTTTGTTTTGCATTCTGATTTTAACTGATTCTTTACGTGCCCATTCTCAATGGATTTAAAAATCCATTTATGTGGGAACCATGATATTTGACCTGTGAATACTGTTTGCTCATTGGAGAACTTATATTTTGACAGTATTTGTAACATTGTTATAGAGATCAAATGATAGAAAAAGATTTTCTAAATTGCCTATAATTTGTGATCTCAGCTAAAATAGAGGAAATTTTCTAATGGCCAAGAAATAATTTACTCTGATATAGCTTGTGAAGAGCACAAGTATCTCTCTCTCTTTTTCCTTTGAACTCTCTCTTTTGCTTGGCTTGATGGTTTAAAGGGAATTGTCCTCATTACAAAATGATTAAGCTCGATGGTTTTTGATTTGGTTCTGAGTATATTTTATACCTTTTATGATGATTTAACTTTGTTGATTTGTTTCAGCAGCCAAATATCCCGAACCTTGTGATGAGCAATAATGTAGTGTGCGGGAACATAGAATTTGTTACAACAATATGCCAAAACAAAGAATATGGGTGTAATGGAACACTGTCTTTTCACCCTGTGCATGCCCTCTTCCAGGCTGTAACTGTCACGACCTGAATCCCAGGTCCATAATCGGCAACGCAGGAGTAGTGTCGAAAGGACACCCCAACTACGCTAAGCCTCAAAACAGACATATCAAAAGAACAAGATATTCAAAAATACGCAGCATTTCATAATCTTTAGAAATATTATATTACTCAAAGCTGATGAAATCAAAGGATAGTTCAAAACTCTTCATCAGTAATTAAAACAAAAATAATAATTCATAATACTCATTACATTGTCAAAATCCAAACTTAATTAAAACAAAGTAATAGTGGAGCGTCTAAGACATCGAATCAAAACAACCTTAAACAATAAGCAAGGCATACCGACCCAAAACTGAAGAAGCAGGAACACTCAACAAAGTCCAACTGCTATCAGAAACTAAGAACCTGAAATAATATTAAGAATGAGGGATGAGTTTAACCAACTCAGTGAGGGAATAATATTTAATATATATTTTAGATATTTTTTCATATTAATAGTTTATCAGATGATTTATCTTGATATACATATACATATACATATACATACTAAACATATTATCATAACATAGTGGAATACATATCAGAGATCTGATGACACCCGAAAGTGACCAGATAACACACAAAAGTGACCAGATGACACCCGAAAGTGACCACTGTGGGATGATCAGTCACCACAGGCTGATGCCTCTCTCACCAGCTAGGTATACAGAATACTATGTGCACATAGGCTAACTACTCTTCGTTAGCATGGAGTTACTAACAAGTCCTATATCAAGGCATAATAGATATTCACAGAATCATCAATTAAACATATATCATATCAGATAGAATTTAGCTCGACAAAATGCGAGTGCAAATTTCAAGAATAGATGAGTACTCGGAAAATAATGCAAAATATATAAATATTCAAAAGATTAACTAATCGTACTCATCATATAATAAACATACATATTTATTTATATTATATGCATATTAAAAATTATCTCACTCACCCAGAAAATATAGAACTAAAGAAACGTCAGACGAAAAACTCGAAAATTCTATTGAGGATCGTTAGGAGAACCTACAACAATATATGAAATATACTAAAAAACAACTCAAACAAAATATCCCAATGCATAAAATAAAACTAAGTTTACTCTCCTAGGTTTAGGGACTAAAATGACAATTATCCAAATAGGGACCAAAATATAATTTTACCAAAATTGGACCAAACTGTAAATATATAACCATACTGAAATTTCATCCATAAACCATCCTTAATTCTGTCCAGAATGAACCAGGGACCTAACAGTAATTTTTATAAAGATTAGGGACTAAAATGTAAATTCCTAAATTTAGGGACCAAACTGAAAATATTCCAAATCAATTATCAAACTGAGATTTATCATCCTTAACCTCATAATAACACTGTCCAGAATCTCAAAATACCATTAGGGGTCAAATTATAATTTTCCCAAAGTTTAGGGACTAAACTGTAATTTTCACAAATTGAGGGACCAAATTGAATTTTCATCATCTTCAACCTCAAACCCAGAATTGTTCACAGATTACCCATTGTTCTTTCCAGACTTCCAACTCAAAATTCATAATTTACACAAATCATAACTCAACATCATCATCTTTACTAACAATCTCTCAAAATCAACTAATTAATCAATTACCCACAACAATCAACTTTATAACATTCAAATTAATTCATCAATTAACCCAAATAACAAATTTTCAAAACCCTAATATTTATCAAAACATAAATTTAAATTTCAAACAACACATTTATACATTTAACAGTCTAAATCTTATCTTTAAAGTTATTTCTTCTCAATCTCTTCCCTTTCCTTTCTTTCCCCCTCTTTTCTCTTCTTCTTCTTCCTTCTTCCTTCTCTTTTACGGTTTTCTCTCAAAAACACAGCTCCCTCTTTTTGTTCTTTTGTTTTTTTTTCTTCCTATTTATATTTATCAACTATTATTCAATTACCACAATACCTCTTATTCATTTTACTCACTTTTAAGCCTTCAAGGGCTTTGTTGCCTTTTCCTATTTTTTTTTTAATTTTTCAAAACATTACAGTAACTATGCTGGCTCATCTAAACAATTGTTATTATCACTTCAGCAGATAACATTAGGACTGTGGAAGGCATTTTAGGTACAACATTCCTTTGCCTGTCTCATCAAGGGTGAATGAATAATTCCTTGTTCTTCAAGAAGAGGAAGATGGTGTTGTTTTTCTCCTTAATAAGGGCATTGAGAGCATTGGCAATGGCAATGTAGCAATCGTAAAAAATCGTAACCTGTATTGGATGCAACTTTGGCTACAAAATTGGTGGCCATGCTTTCTTGGGTTCTTACATGTATGAAAAACTGATAACTAGTTTGGAAGATTTTGGTTTTTAGTTAATTCAAAAAATATTATTGACTCTTTATTTTAGAGAGTATGAATGTGGTAATATTTTTTAGATAGCTAGTTAAAATGGTTTTTAGCTATTTTAGCTAGGCAATAAAGAGCATACATGCTTGTTAACAAACATAAAAAGGACTGAGAAGTATATATAGCTTTCTAAAACACGATCACCCAGCAGCATGTCAGGACCTCACAATGGGTAATCTATCTTGCCTCTAAGACTGAAATTGAACATTCGTTAGCTGAAGACGGTTTGCTCATGCTGGAAGAATAACTTGCTTCAAAAAGATCCCGTTCCGTGAAAAAACCTGGATGTTTAGGCTGAGGCAGTGCATCATTATTACCTAACATCAAAACTGCACATGACATGTTTGGCCTATCTTCTGGTTTGTCTTGCACGCAAAGTAGAGCTACGTGAATCGAACGCAGCACTTCATATGAATAGCATGTTATAGCTATAGATTCTGCTGCCAGTTCCAAAGGCCTGCCTTCCATAAACAGTCTCCAAGCCTGGTAAACAAACCGAGATATTCAATACAATTTCATTAAAAAATATTTAAAAATTTGGTCTCTAGAAACTCGAGGATCCAAATGATATTGCGTGCCGTTGTCAGGCTGGATGAATTTTCAAACTATCTACAATTTTTTCATGCATTGCAAGTGTCTAAGTGAACCTAACGTTGGCACACAAAAGTTAAGTGAAATGAAGAGTCTAAGTACCATGATTTTAACACTTACATGCCCAAGAAGGTTCATGTGGTGGTCTGGATGACGGAATCCTCTGTTCCTGTTCCCACTCACTATCTCAAGCATCAATACACCAAAGCCAAAGACATCTGATTTTAGTGAGTAGAGCCCAAAATTTGCATACTCAGGGGAAATGTAGCCACTGCTCATATTCGGTTGTAGAATGTTAAGTTGTATTTGTGAGAACGGAAGATAAAATCATATGATGGATGACAAACTTACTAAGTTCCGACCACTTTATTTGTATTGGCTTCAATTTCATTTCCTCCCAAACTTCTAGCCAGGCCAAAGTCTGAAATTTTCGGGTTCAGTTCATAATCCAATAAAATATTGTCGGCTTTAAGATCTCTATGAATTACTCTTAGTCTTGAATCTTGGTGAAGATAAAGGAGTCCTCGAGCAATCCCGTTGATAATGTTGTAGCGCATAGGCCAATCTAGAAGCAATCTGTGTTTTTCATCTGCCAAAATTTCGCCCAAATCTATTTATTGTAGCTCTTATCAGATTCCTAAATGCATATGAAAAACTTGAAGAAATGGTAATGCAAACTTAATACTTGATGAAGTTTCAATTAAAATTACTGATAGAAAAGCCAGCATGCGTGACTATGGAAGTGGAGAAACACTTCCCTCCAGGCTGGTTTCCCAATGGTTGTGAAGGAAGCACAGCAAATGGTTGTTATATTCGGTGCGCCTATGGTTTCCTGTTACTTCGGGTTACTTGTGATTGATCTACAGAACTTATTTTTAGCCATAGAGCTCATAGCATCATTTACTAGGAGTTGGTTTCAGTGCTTGTACACTGACAGCACAAAAGTGCAACAATTGGAAAGAATTTCTAGGGTGTTCCATAATCTGTAGTTTATGACTGGTTATATCTAATAACTATAGAAGTCTACTGATTTTCGGCAGAATTATTGCAGAAGCAAATCTGCAGAGGTCATATCAGCAGAAATGTCAGTGACGTCCCTCAAGTTAAGGGATGTGTTACAAGCTTTAAGCTTTTTAGGTGAAAGCTTTCTAGATAGAATTGACAGTTTAGGGTTTAGAGTCTCGTGAATACAATTGTATGTATTTTTCATTGAGAATTACCTATTATATAAGTAAACTTTACAAGCTAAGAAAAAGGAAAAAATATAACAGAAAATAATAAGTAATATAGGCTAATCTTTAGCTTTTAGAAACAGTTAAGCAACTGTTAGTATATCCCAATAAAAGAAAGAATAAATAAGCAAAGAATCTGCTTGTATTAAATATATATAGGTATTTTCTTTCAAGAATGCTCTACAAATAATATTTTTTATATTGAAGTTATGGCACCAAAGCTGAAATTAATGTATCAGCTAGATAGATTATCTTTTATTAATATCTATTTATTACTAACATCATTATCTTCTTGAAGTTTAGTTAGTTTTTACTTTTTTAGATTTAAACTTTATTTAGGATAAATTATATAGCTCAAAAGAGTTTATATTAGTTATGTTTCTTAATTTTATTGTGTTTGATTTCATCTATAAGTAAAAGCTAAGGGTTGGTGGTAACCTATAAAAAATATTCTACTCTTTGTTCTATGCTGCAAGTTCTCTGTTTTTTTTTTCTTTAGATTATCATCAACTTTCAGTTTTTTATATACCTATTATCAACATTTTCTGCCTATACATATCTTGCAAAATGAGTTCTGTGAGGTTGAAGGAAAATGCATATCAAACTAGCCTTTTCACTTCCCTTCTCTGCTAAAATTTTCATGTTATTTACAGAACTGGCATAGGGTTTTGAGATATTCATACCAAAAATGAAGAAGTCCAAGCTTTTGTTAGGACAAAACTCGTAGATCAAAATCATCTCATCTTCTTCAATGCTGCATCCTAGAAGCTTCACTAGATTCCGATGCTGAAGTTTCACGATATGCTTGACTTCATTTTTGAACTCGTCAAGTCCTTGTCTTGAATTCTTGGAGAGTCTCTTCACAGCTATTTCTCGCCCATCTTTCAATGCTCCCTGCAAATATTCTCTCATAATCATAAGCAAAAGTTTGTCTTGTGAAACCTGTAATACACGGTGCGTACAATGCCGCATACTACTTGCATCTGTCGGAAAATCTAATGTCGGAACACTTTCCAAACAGTCATTATGTATGCTTAGAAAGTATCTGTCCATTGGAAGCCAACAAATTGCTTATTGTTTATAGGTCAGCTATTACCTTGTAAACAGGTCCGAAACCCCCTTCTCCGAGTTTATTGTCAGCAGAAAAGTTATTTGTTGCACAAGCCACTATATCCAAATCAAACAACGGTAAGTCCAGATCCTCTTTCATGTGCTTCTTACGTGAACTTCTTTCCAAAGCACCTGCCATTTGTCAGGCAAGCAAAAATCTTGTGAATAACAAGAAGCAGGGGATCTGATCTATTCTCTGTTATCCTAAAATTTCTTTTAGACATCTATACAAGGAGGTCCTAAAATCGGAAATAAACTAAACTTCCCATCCTAAAATTAGCAGATTGAGCCATGATTAATTAGAAGCTCATGGTGAATAACGTACTGTTTTTTTTCTTCCAAACATACAAGATCAAGGCTAGGCCGAGGAACAGAATTGTTGCGGACAACACTGTGCTTACTATGATCCTTCTCTTCACTTTGGATTTAGTATTCATCTTCGCACCATCACCATAATCTACACCATGGAAGAGAAAAACAAAAAAAAAAAGGAGTTAGAGGACAATGCCTATCGTATGTACTTACTATTTTAGTATGACTGGAAATGTTTCATTACATACCAGGATAATTCTACTCTAAGCAGAGCAAATCAATCTATGATGTATCATCTCAATGATTTTATTATGCTGAAAGCTCTTCTAAGCCAAATGATATTTTGATCCAAATGATATTTTGATCTGTGCTTGCCAAGTTATCATGCTATATACATAGATTAGCACATGCTTAAATGCATACAAAGGAAGTTTCATAGCATCATCTGACAAGATGTTCTGTAAAACTATGATGTATATGATGAAGATTTGCTTTTAATTCATTTGATTTCCCATCTTAGATCTTGCTAGAGTGCAATTGCTATCAACTTTTATAGACTGAGGATAAATTCATACCTAGTTCTGATTCAGCCATCCGTATATAAACATCTATATCGTTTTCATGAAGTATTCTGATATCAATCAGGTCACCGAACCAAAGCAAGCACCCACTTCCTCCATCCCTGATGTCCAAATTTGAATATGCTGAACAGCTGCAGTTCGTTAAGCAAGTGTTTTTGCAGTCCTCCAGGTTCATGCTCGTGTTAAACCATGATGTTTTTGTCTCGGGCAACCTCACTGCGGAGAGCTTTCTAAACCCATCACCTGAACAATTTAGTGGTGTCTTTCTAACACAACCTTTTGACCAATCCATCATGTTCCAGTCTCTTGAAACATTAGGTATAAATCCATTCAAGCAATCACAGATTGGAGAGTTGTTAATATTACAGATACCATTTAAACCACACAGTGCATAACGATCACAATAATCTGTCTTTGGTGCCCCGTATAATAACCAACTTTGTTTCTTCTCAATCCACTTGAAGTTGTGGATATCACCATTTTGACTTTGCACGACCCTCCAATGTGTTGAATTATTAGTTAGATGCTCTCTATAATATACCTCCTCCTCATTGGAAACAAATTCAAATTTGTATATGGGATTCGGTTTTAAAGAAGGCATGCCACTGAACCGCAGACCATTCCACGGCCCAGACCGGTACAGCACTTTAGACTTTTCCATCACTAGTATCTCTGTGTATCCATAAGGAACAAGTTTACATGTAACATTACCTTTAGAAGGATCATCAGGTGACTTCCATGCTGTCAGGTACCAGTCCATGCCTGTTACTTTATTCCGACCTAGCTTCATTTCTGGCAATAGTGTATTACCTGGATGTTGAAAACTTTGCCACAACGTGTTCTCCAGGTTGTTATCGCCTTTCTCTTTGAGAACAAGGTTTCCCGAGTCCAAAAGCCGTGCAACAGGATTCCTGACAGGTGTTGATGTACTGGAAGACCAGACTACACTCCCGCTCCGATTGAGAAGGACAAGAATTCCTTCGTCCGTAAGCCGTAGAACTCCTGATAAATCATTGAGTGGAATCTCTGTGTTGGCAACCCAAACTACTGTCTGCACAGATATTTTTCCGTACCATATCCCCAAGTATCGGTTTCTTGATTTTCCTGGGCTGAAAAATCCTAATACATAGGTTCCTTCAGCAGAAGTTATGGTATCTCCATCTCTAATGTACTGAGCGGTGTTTATGGTGTCAATACCTGTGGCTGTTTCTAGAACAAGCAATATTGAGGAGCCAAAAAGAAGTATAGGTATGTAAGCCATAGCTGAACTCGTGATTTTTCTGTAGCTCACTTAACAGCTTCCTTAGATGTGAAAGTATTCGGCAACACAATCAGCCTGCAAGAGGGGCAGTAATATATTTATTTTATTCTATTTCTGTACAGTTGACAACATATAAAAAAATAATTACTTTAATTTTTAATAATAAATAATTATTTCACCTTTAATAAATAGAAATTACTGTGAATTTCACTTTTCTCTTGTGAATTTTCATCACTTTTCTCTCACTGTCATCAAAACTGACCTCCATCCATTGAATGATGAATAACAGAGTTGAAATATTAAGTGATTATTTGGAAATGTGGCATGGTGTTAGAAATATGGTTGACATGTGTTTTTTTTATAATTTTAAATTTTAAAAGATATTTTTAAATAGCTGAACTCGTGATTTTTCTGTAGCTCTCTTAACAGCTTGCTTAGATGTGAAAGTATTCGGTATTTAACACAACACAATCAGCCTGCAAGAGGGGCAGTAATATATTTATTTTATTCTATTTCTGTACAGTTGACAACATATAAAAAAATAATTACTTTAATTTTTAATAATAAATAATTATTTCACCTTTAATAAATAGAAATTACTGTGAATTTCACTTTTCTCTTGTGAATTTTCATCACTTTTCTCTCACTGTCATCAAAACTGACCTCCATCCATTGAATGATGAATAACAGAGTTGAAATATTAAGTGATTATTTGGAAATGTGGCATGGTGTTAGAAATATGGTTGACATGTGTTTTTTTTATAATTTTAAATTTTAAAAGATATTTTTAATTTTTTTAAATATAGATATTAAAAATAATTTTTTAAAAATAAAAAAAATATTATTTTAATATATTTTTAAATAAAAATACATTTTAAACTACCATAAATATTCCAATACCAAAGAGACCCTAAATCATAAGCTTGAAAAAAATGAGGGTGATAGTTTCAAAGTCAAAAGTTTTGAAACAACATTTTAAAAGTATTGAAATAACATTTATGTAAACTTCCACCGAAATTTTATTTTTTTCATTATTGTACGTTTAGATGAATTTACATACATCTTAATTAATTTTATAAATTTTAAAATTAATAAATATATAAGTTTTTAGTTACTCTGAAATTTATAAAATTTAAACTGGTAATTTGTAAATTTAAAATTTAATTAGTTGAATTAAACTTTTAAAAAATTAAAAAAATTTCACATGAATTTTCAATTTGACAGGTGATTGAGAGGAATATTTTAGTATTTTTAAAATATTTAAAAAATATTTTTATATTTTTATATTGTTTTGATGTTAAAAAATAATAATTAACGTATTCTATCGTTAGTGGGCAGCGGCTTCTCATTCTCAATTTTCTTAGCACAACTGGTTTAATGCTACAGTCCAGTAGTGGACTCGAATCCTGACCACAGCTTTATTGTTGTCAAGAACCAATATGGAAACACATTGCCGTGCACCGTTGAATAGTCTAACCATCTTCACCATTCCACGCTGCCTAAAAACTAAGAACTTGCCTCGTCCCTCTGTTTACTTTTCGTAGTTTCTTCTCTGCTTCTATTGGTAAAGAACGAAGGAAGTCAAATTAAATTATATTTCAAAACTATTGTAATGATAATTTAGTAAGATTTTATTATATTAATTGTATATCACACAATCTTTTAAATATATATATATATATATAACTAGACATGTGACATATATTTTTATTTTTTATAAAAAAGATTGTATATATAGGGTTTTTCAATGTATTTCTATAGTTTAGAAAATCTAATTTTAAATAAAAAAATTTATACATATATATAATTAAATTTAAAAAACTATGTAAATAAATAAATAAATGATAATTTAAAATAAAATTTAAAAAATAAAAAAATATTTTATCAAAACGAGCCTGGCTCATTTTGTCATGGTCTATGCGTTGGTCTCCAAATTGAGCCTTTAAATTTTTTTTATTTGCAATTAAGATGGATAATATTATCCTCCGCCTCATATTTTAAAAAACAAATTTGTCTATATTTTGGTATAAAAATAAAAGAAAAAAGAAAGAAGAAAAATTAATTTAAATTTAAATTTAAAAAATAAAAAAAAAACCATAAAATAATAATTATTTAAAAAACAATCAAGAATTGTTTAACTTAACAAGTTAGACTAGCTTGCCTTGCTCATTTTTTCATGGCTAATGCATATCTATGCATATCCTTGTAGGCACATTTAATTGGGCTCTTAGTTTTTTTTAAAAAAAATTAAATTTACTTAAATCCCACTTATTATAGTGATTAAAAAATTGAGGTTCATATATGGTTAACTAAATAATTGTTTCTTAATCTATTTTAATTCAAAATACCTATAAAACATAATAAAAATTATGATAAATCTATATATAATTTTAAAAAATTTAAAGACCCGACTCCAAAATTAAAATCAATCCAAACTTAGTGTCGTATTCAAATGAAATTTAAAAATAAAAAACTTTTAATATAAACTCTGAATAAAATCATTTAAAATAAATATTATTTATTTCAATAATATAAATTAATTTCAACAATTTTTCTTTCCACTCCACCAGAATCTCACAACCTCTCTTTCCATTCTCAGCCAGGAAAATTCTACGACTTGCATGACCCGTAGCAAGTAAACTGTTAAATAATTGTTTTAAAAAATCTTTGTCTTCAAGTATGTTATATCAACTTTTAACTTTTAATTGTAAAAAAAAAAAAACACTTTTAACTTTTAATAATAACTAGTCATTTTCAGCTGTTATGTGAGTGGTTCATGTATTTGTTTTCTTTCACTGCAGAAAATTATACATCTTTCTTTAAATATGAAAAACTATTTTTTTTAAATGACATTTCAAAACTATCTAATGATAATTTAGTAAGATTTTATTATATTAATTATATAACACACAATCTTATATATATATATATATATGTTCATTTCAATACAACTTTTAATTATAACTAGTTATGTAATTTGCGTTCTAGCAGGATATATATTTCAATTTTTTATAAAAAAAATTATATATATTATGTTTTTCAATGTATTTCTATAATTTAGAAAATCTAAGTTTAAATAAAAAAAATTATGTATATTACAATTAAATAAATTAAAAACTATGTCTGTAAATAAAAAAATAAATAAAAATTATATTTAAAAATAAAATTCAAAAAATATTTTGTCATAATTTATGCGGGCCTGATTTATTTTGTCCAGGATCTATATTTTTATTTTTTTGTTTGTAACTGTGTTATCCATTCGAAATTGTTTAAAAAACAAAATTTGCTCAGATTCTGGTTAAAAAATAAAATAAAGGATACTAATTTAAATATAAATTAAAAAAGTTTAAAGAAAAAATCATAAAAAAATCATTAATTAAAAATAATAACAATAATAATAATTAAAAAAAAACGAAATGCTACTGGTTTAACGTGTTTTGTCCGGGTCCATGCACGACGGGTTGAACTCTTAGTTTTTTTTAAAAAAAAAAAAAAAGAAAAGAAAAGAAAAGGTTAGATTTGCCTGGATTCCGGGCAAGAAGTCTAATCATCTTCAGAATTCCATACTCTGTGAAATTGTTTAAAAAATAAAATTTGCTCAGATTCTGGTAAAAAAATAAAATAAAAGATACTAATTTAAATATAAATTTAAAAAATTTAGAGAACAAATAATAAAAAAATCATTAATTTAAAATAATAACAATAATAATAATTAAAAAAAAAACGAAATGCTACTGGTTTAACGTGTTTTGTCCGGGTCCATGCACGGGCTACCTTAGCAAGCACGACGGGTTGAACCCTTAGTTTTTTTATAAAATGAAAAGAAAAGAAAAGAAAAGGTTAGATTTGCCTGGATTCCGGGCAAGAAGTCTAATCATCTTCAGAATTCCATACTGCCTAAAAACTAAGAACTTGTTACGTCCCACTGTTTACTTTTTGTAGTTTCTTCTCTACATCCATTGGTACAGATTAAATGATATTTTATCATTTTCATTTTAATTAACTCTATTAGACTGGGAGTTAACTACGATTAGAATCTTGTTCTTTGTTATTGGCCAGCCATGCAATGCTATCGTCATTCAAACTTTGATAACCTTGCCGATGAATGTAATGATTTGAGAACTTCAACTATATATATATATTTCAACTTCATGCCTAACGGTGAAAAAGACTTGTCATGCACTCCCACTGCATTTAGATTCAAGTCATGACATGTACGTCTGTTATCCTCGCAGTGTCTTACATGTCTACTGGGTTTGCAAGGTATTCAATAGATCGTGGGGATTAGTCGTGGTACGCGCAAGCTGGCCCGGATATCCCACGTAAATCAAAAAAAAAATGTGACTTGCATTGTACTCTATTATAACTTAAATATTTTTACTTTTTATAAAACTATTACATATGCAAGTTTTTTCAATGTATTTTTATAGTTTAAAAAATTTAATTTCAAATAAAAAATTTTATGTAAACATATAATCAAGTAAATAAAAAACTATACATGCGAATAAATAAAAGTCATTAATGATACTTAAAATAAAATTTGAAAAATTAAGAGACAAATATAAATCAATAAATAATCTTGAAATACGAGATATTTACTTGGTTTTGTGTGTTAAATTTTTTATTAAAATAATTTTTATTTAAGAAAATAATAATAGAAATAGAGATACAAATTAAATTAATTGAACAAATAAAAGGAAAAAAAAAACATCATACTAGGCTACATATATTAGAAGTATTATCTGAAAATAATTTTTTTATTATAAAAAATAAACTTCATCCATATAAAAGATAAAAATAAATTATATATGAATCATTAAAACTCTTCAAATTTAATTGTATAACTTTAAAAAATAATCATAATTTAAAAGAGACTTTCCAAACAAAATAAAAAAGAGAAGGGGTACTAATTTAAATATAAATAAAAAATAAAAAAATAATTTTTTTTTTAAAGAAGCGTAGATTAGGCGTAGATAGGCCTGTCAATCCAGGCGAGCTTG